GTTAACTTAGGACCAAATTGGAAATTTTGCTATAGTCAAGGGACCATTTCAGTAATTAACTTTAGGGGTGGGCATTTCGATTCAGTTTTCTCGAATTGAACCAAACCGAACAACCGAATGGTAATGGATTCTTGTATACTGAACGGTTCGGTAAAATATCGAACCGAACTGAATTATAAGGGTAAAAAATCGAACAGAACCAAATGCCGACAGAGCATGCAGCAAAGGACTTGGATTTAATACTTTATTATTATTATTATTATTATTATTATTATTATTATTATTATTATTATATTTTGTTAAAAAAATCAAATGGTATTCGGCTCGGTTTGGCTTTTTACCGAACAATTAGGTTCGGTTCGGTATACAAGAATTCATTACAGTTCGGTTGTTCAGTATATTACCGAACCGAACTAGTTCTGTTCGGGAAAATCAAACCGAATTGCCCACCCCTAAAGTTAATTACTGGAATGATCACTTGACTATAGTGAAATTACCAATTTGGTCCCAACTCCCAAGTTAACGGATGTCTAACGGCAAAACAAACGAAGGACCAAATTGGTCAAAAAATAGTCAAGGGCCAAATTGGTAATTTCGCTATAGTTAAGGGACTATTTCGGTAATCAACTCTAATAATTATTTTGAATGTTTGGTCAAACTCATGAGGCAACCTACATTCTGTTGTTGGTTTTGTTCGGCTTGGAACGTTTCTAAGTGCTCATTCCGAATCGTCGAGCTTGGCTCATTCCGAATCGTCGAGTCTTTACTTTTGAATTATGTGTTGGAATGTTCTATCTAGCTCATTATGAATCATTGAGTCTGACTCATTCTGAACCGTCGAGTCTTTTTGAACCATTATGCCGATAATGACCTGCGCCACAAGATATAATAGTGGTTGTAGGTTGCCAATGAGTCATATGTTAATGAATGATTTGACCTTTTGAAAGTATTGTATTATGAAATAATGTTGATGCCCATGTAGCTAAAGTTTTCTATTTTCGGAACTTGTGTGTATAGTTTGATGGAATTATATTATGACTTCGATATAGTTTTAAAATCGAGATTTGCATCTATTTATTACTCTAAAGTTTATTGTATTCTATTAAGGTTACTTGATCCGGGGTTGAGAAGAGTACCACTTACTGGGCATTAGCTCATTATTTGTGTTTTCCTCATGTTTCAGAGTAGTTAAGACATATGAAAAACACAAGCACAAGTGGTGGGGTCTCGAAGGTGACTTTTGAAACTAGGAGATTTAGTCCTAGTATTGGAGCTTATCACGGATTTTTGTTTATTTGGATATTTCATTTGACCCTTTGTATTTTTGGTAAACCATTGTGCTTGGTTTTGGTATTTGTGATGCATTTTGGACATACTATTCTTGATTGTAAATATTTAATAGTGGATTTGATGAATTTTTGAGAAGAACTTGATTATAGTTTGCCATTTTGGGTTGTGATGAAATTATTATGTATTCAAGTGTTATTATGAAGGTTCCGAGAGGTATGCATGGTTAGGCTTTGTATTGTAACAAGTTTTCAAGTAACGATACGGTCGGGTCATGTCCTATGGGGTGTGACATTAGTAGTGCATTTATGAATGTTTTTTCCCCTTGAGAGATTACACCTTCCATGTTTCCGCCCACATCATTCTTGATAGCATAATCATATATACCTAGAGAGAAATTAAGTTATTATCCTTTAAAAAAATTCTAAATGATCGTGAAGGGCTTTTAGTTCTTTGCTTTTGATACAAAATTTTGGGTTAGTATTTCTCTATAAGTTTTGCTGCTAATGTGAGGCACATTCATCCTTAATCTATATTTCATGACAGGTTTCTGCAGGGTAATTATTTGAGCGGACTAATTCGGAAACCTTTCTTTTCTTGAAAATATGCAAGATACTTATTTTACTCAAATACTCTATATCCTTTTACATGTTGGTTTCATCACCATCCTTGTTTGACGTTTTAAGAAACTGTTTCCCGATCTGGGTAAGATTATTGTTATCTTTACTACTAGATAACTGTTCTTCTGAAAATCAATATTAAACTCAACTATCAACTTTCTTGTGTGCACCTATATGATATTCATTTCCAGATTTTATGAAACTCATTGTCAAGAACTGAGCCAAAAGAGGACATGCCTAGGTCCTTTCTCTGACAAATGCCCTTGCTTTGCCTGCAGTGAATTCAACCCGTGTGAAGTTTAGTCAATTTGCAAATGGAAAAGTTCTTATGGCTACCGGCCAGAGCTTTTCTATTTCAAAATTTTTTATGTTGTTGCTTAGGAACCATTAAGTGCCATGTCTGCTACTTGTTTCTGTATTGATTTGTCTCATTATATACACAACAGCTTTGTTCATTAATATGGAGGTGACTGTCAGAAATCAAAATTGATGCTACTTTGTTTTGTGTAGGGATCTTTCAAGCAACTCTCTCAGTCGAAATATTCCACAATCATTGGGGAAGTTGAACAAACAATGTTGAAAATTATGAAATTTCCCACCACCTAAAAGTGATCTTAAATCAAGTCGAAAGCAAAAAGTGGTCGGAAATAGTAACAAAGGTTTTTCCGGATACCAAAAGTGGTCGGAATAAGGCTTTCGACTTGATTTAAGATCACTTTCAGGTGGTCGGAAATTCCATAATTTCCAGCAATGAAAACGATTATGTTGTGAGTGTGTTGGTCCCAGTAGGGTGCGAAAAGTTTAGAGAGAGGTGAATAGACTTTTCTAACAATTTCAAATTTAAAACACTTCGTAATTTCAACTCTAAGTAATAATAAATAATCAAATATTCAATTTAGAGTGCACAGCGAAATAATTGTACGAAGAAGTGTTATGCTTAAAGTGAAGTGCTCAGTGATGTGTACTACACATGCAACATGATGGAAGAACTTAAAATAGCTTAGAAATGATGTATGGAAAGTTTGACTTGCTTGCATACATGAAAAGCAACAAACCTAGATAGATAAAGTTATGCAATGAATGGTTACTGGGTTAGTCAAATAATAAGCATGTAGAGTAAAATATGTAAGTGCAGTAAGTAAATGAGAGAGAGAATTTATAGTGGTTCGGAAGTGGTGTAATCTTCCTACTCCACTCTACTCCTTTCACTCCAAGGAGGAATTCACTATCAGTGTAACAACCCAAAATTTTATTTTATAAATCCGGTATTAAGAAGTTCCAAAATAGCCGTTTTCACTCCATTAAAAATTTTTGCGATCAATTGGTGTTTGAATAAAATATTTTCGTCACATTTTAAATTAATTCGACACCAAAAATGGATTCTGTTAGAAAATTCCTAAGTTTTCGGGTACTTCGCGTACAAAGATTTAAATCGAGAAATTTATCTGAGTGAGACCGGGAGAATTCAAAAAGATTTTAAACAAGTATTCATCCAAATAGCTTTTTGAGAAAATTCATTTTCAACCCCAAAGTATTCAAAGTTAGCATTTCTAGCCCATGGTCCATGATACAAGGTGAACCATGAAATCTTATAAGCTTTGTCTGAGATATTTTGAGCAAGCAAATTTACTCTTTTGCCATCCACCAATCATAAGAGATCATCCTAGGGTTTCGTACCCTATAAAAACCACCCTATCTCTCCATTGTTTCCTGATCTCATTTCCCTTGCCTCTCCAAGCCAAGTCTGATGGAAGAAAATATTCACAGTAAGCTATTCTCCATCCATCACTCCTTCACTTTGCTTCTTGAGTTTTTCTCCTTTAGCTTTCCAACCTCTTAGATACTTAGGCCTAGCTTTTGTGGTTGCTTTGAGGTGCTTAGGTGGTGAATGGAGTGGTGTATGAGTAGGGTGGGGGCTGAGATCCACACAAGGAAGAAGGACAAGAGAAGAAGTCTACAAGAGGTATAACCACATGAATTCCTTCTTGAAACTGGGCTCTGTGAAGCCTTAATATTGAGTAGAAATGAGTAGGAACTATGAGATTTTGTTGTGTTTATGCTTAAAAGTGATCTAGTATTTGTTTATGAGTTGTTGAGAATGTTTTGGACTTGTTTGGATTAAGTTTTGCAAATGAGAAAGCCTTCTGGTGCACACACAGTGTGCACTAGATCAGACCAGTGGCCCTAGCCGCGGCCCTAGAGGAGGGCCGCCGGCTAGAGCCATGGTTACACGGGCCTAGGGCACGGCCCTAGAGGAGGGCCGTCGCCTAGACTCGTTGGAGTAACGGGGCACATGGGGCGGACCATGAGGAGTCCCGCCCCAGGTCCCTGACTTTGATTCTAAGAAGAATCTGTGTAGTGGCCGGGCCCTTGTGGCTCAGCTACGTGTTATTTCGGGCCAAGTGTTACGGCCCCTTGTGGCTCGGCTCTTCGGGACCGTCTCGACGCACGTTTTGGCTTTGATTTCGTTGAATTTGGATTAAAAACGAGTATGTTATGAAGGATTTTGTGAAGAATTGCTACACAGAGTATATATTTGCTTAGTCACTGTGTATGAGAAATATTTGGTTATGTGATCTGATGATATTTTTGTGTTGAGTAAAGAAGCATGATCATTTGAGAATATGATTTAGTATGAAAGCATGACTAGTTTGCACTAGTACAAAAAACATCAATAAAATCGACTAATTCGCGTCCAAAGTTAGAACTTTGGACGCCTAAAATGTAATGCGGTAGCATTTTTGTAATTAAAATGCCACTATATAAATAATTTTCTTCTTTTTTTTTTTTAATTTTAAAACAGTATTGGCGTCCAAAGCTCTGTACTTTGGACGCCAATAATAAAAGTCTTCTATTATTCGCGTCCAAAGCTCAATACTTTGGACGCGAATAATAGAATCTCATCCATCACTCGCGTCCAAAGCTCAATACTTTGGACGCGAATAATAGAATCTCATTCATCACTCGCGTCCAAAGTGGCAAACTTTGGACGCCAATTATTTTTTTTAATCCAAACCCTAGCAACCTAGTAGCTACGCGTAAACCATCTCCATCCGCTCTAATCTTCATCCGCTCCGACCTTTCTCTCTCTCTCTATGGCGTCTTCTTGTTTCTGCCCACCCAATCCCGCCTTCTCCCCACACTCCCACCGCAAAGCCACCCTATGTGACTTCGTCGTGCGCCTCCCTGCCTCCGCTACTCTTCCTTCTCGGTGCCGTTTGGAGTATAATGCTCCCAACCGACTAAAGGTGTTTGCAAGCTCCGCGGTTCCCGCGATGGATCAGTCTCCTCAGAGTAAAGCATCTTCTCCCGTCCCCACGGTTGTTGAGGTTGATTTGGGTGACCGGAGCTACCCGATTTACATCGGCTCTGGTCTTCTTCATAAACCCGAGTTTCTTCAGAGGTAACTCTTTACTCTTCTTCTTCTTCTTCTTCTTCTTCTATGGTGTTTCTCTGATTGAATTTTAGTTAATCCATCTAAAGCTCTGTTTTATTTTTTAATTACTCTACGTTGATTCTCGGTATGCCTAAGTGTTTGTTTGTTTGTTTCCTTCACGATGTAGCTAGTTTTTATCATTAATTTTAGGATCACAATCTTTTCCTGCTTTATTACATTACAGGCATATTCATGGCAAGAAAGTTCTTATAGTCACAAATACTACAGTAGCTCCATTATATCTGGACAAAACTATCAGTGCTTTAACAGATGGAAATCCTAATGTTAGTGTTGAAACTGTGATCTTGCTAGATGGAGAGAAATTTAAGAACATGGTAGGTATCTCGAGGCCTTGATATATGAATTTCAAGAGAAAAGAAAAATCAAAAAAACTGGTGTGATTATGATTTCGTTGGTGTTTTTTGCAGGAAACTCTCATGAAAGTTTTTGATAAAGCTATTGAATCACGATTGGACCGACGGTGTACATTTGTTGCTCTCGGTGGTGGAGTTATTGGTGATATGTGTGGATATGCTGCTGCTTCTTATCTCCGGGGAGTTAATTTTATTCAGATTCCTACAACTGTTATGGCACAGGTACAATGAGTTTCCCTCTTTTGAATCTAACTAATTGTATATGAGGCTAGCAATTTTTATTTTGTATCAAAAGTAGCACACAATCTGAATTAAGGTATTTTTTTTTTTTTGGGTTTGTTTTAGAGGGTGGGTCTGACTTGGGTTTTACTTGATGAGTATTTATGAGGGTGAAATCAATGTCTGTGCTCTATTGACTAATTCTGGACACTTTTTTCCAGCTCTTTATTGCACTGGGTTTCTGTTTTCTTGAACATTAAAGAAGAGGTTGGGGAGTGGGGTCTTGAGTCTTCATTAAAGCTTGAACCTTTGTTGCTTGATTTATGCTGTTTTCTATCCTGCATTTTGTTTCTTCAGGTGTGAATTGAATTGGGTATTTGGTTAAATCTTTTATTTTTTAGTTTTACCCAACTCTTTGAGGGTAGCTATTCAATATTTCATATGTTTTGCATATTGTTGGGCTTACTTTTCAAGAAATATCTCTAATATGGTGTAAAGATCAAACTGTTTATGCTATCCAATTTCTCCATTGTTTTCTAATATGGTGTAAAGATCAAATTGTTTATGTTATCCAATTTCTCTATAGTTTTCTAAATTCTATCTAGAACCCTGAAAATGATGGATCTTTTGCAGTTGAGTTTCTCTAATTTTGGTGTTTTTCCTGGAAAATTCAACCAGTGCTGCCTGTTTTCTTTCTGAATTTTTCTAGTTCTTTAAAAATGGATATGGGTGGCAAGGATGAGTTCGAGGCGGAGAGGAGAGCTGATGATGATGATGATGGTGTGAACTTGTTCAACTCAATACGCAGAAGCGAGAAATGGATTCAAGGATTACCAAATTGGGGCAACACTTATCAAGTTAAAGAATGATTTGTCAGAGGTTGAGGAGAGTGAGAAGGAACTCAAATCAACAATAGAAATGACAAGTAAGGAAATTAAGCATTACAAAGAAGAAGTAACAGGTATGTAAATCAACTTTAGAACAAATTGCACTTTTGGTCCTGTGAGTATTAGGGTACTGGCAATTTGAGTACGTGACTTTCAAAACTCCCAATTTAAACCTTTAACTATGCATTTTTTGGCAGATTTGGTCCTCCGGACCAAATTGCCGGCCAATTTTGGCCGGAAAATGATTTAATGGTTCGAATTATTTTGTGATGAGGGTAAAAACGTCATTTCACTCCCTTCTTCTTCATTCTCCCTTTCTTCTTCGTTCTTCTTCTTCTTCTTCACCTAACAAAACCTCTGAGAAATGTAAGGATTTACAGTTATCTCTTCTTCTTTTTAGAAGACTTACCATTACAAAACAAAGAACCTAAGCCAAAAAAAGTAGTTTTTGAGATGTAATTAGGTGGGATGTTTAATACTGGGCTGATTCTCACGCCATGGCCGCCGGAAGATCTACAGCTACTGCTCTTCTTTAATGGCGAACTGTTAGTATTGTTTTTCTTTGAAGAATTCAAATGGCTATGGCTTTGGGTGTTGAATAGTAATGACGAGAGTGAGCGTGATATGAATGGCTCCGACTTTGATCTCTGTTTCCGGCTGGCCCGCGGCGGCGCGTTGGGTTTGGGGTTCGGGGCGGAGCCGGTGGAATTGCTGCGGGATAGGAATTGGAGGGAGCGGACTAGGGTGTTGCCGCTGTTCAGGCTGCTGCTCCGGCGGAACTGCCAGAAGTGTTTCGCCGGCGGCGAGTCGTCGTCGTCGGATTCTGGGTTTGTTGACAGGAACTCCTTCAGCATCTTTCGGTTCTCGTCGGCATTGGAGAGCCTCTGGGGCGTTTTGGGCTCCGGCGAGGCCGCCGGGATTTTCTGATTTCCACCGGGAGGATCTGGCCGTTGGCGAAGAGCTCGTCGGCGGAAAGGGTGTGGTGGGCGGCGGCGGCGGTGGTGCAGAAGTGGAAGTCGAAGTCGATTGTGGGTTCGAAGAGGAAGGGATCGGCGGCTTGGAATTGGATGGGGACGATGTCGTCGGAATCTTGGAGATCATGGGAGAAGGAGATTCTTGGGCTCGCCGTGGAGCTTGAGGCCTCGGAGCACACATCCACGGCCATGGCGGGGGGGGGGGGTGGGTGCTTCAAGAAGATTGTTAGGTGAAGAAGAAGAAGAAGAACGAAGAAGAAAGGGAGAATGAAGAAGAAGGGAGTGAAATGACGTTTTTACCCTCGTCACAAAATAATTCGAACCATTAAATCATTTTCCGGCCAAAATTGGCCGGCAATTTGGTCCGGAGGACCAAATCTGCCAAAAAATGCATAGTTAAAGGTTTAAATTGGGAGTTTTGAAAGTCACGTACTCAAATTGCCAGTACCCTAATACTCACAGGACCAAAAGTGCAATTTGTTCATCAACTTTAGAATTATTTTCACTTTTGCTCCCATGACTAATAGGTCACTTCTACATTTGATCCTCAAGTATTAATTTTGCCACATTTGGTAGAAACCAGTCAAAATTCATCACATTTCTAGTTCAAAACCATAACAGCTTCAACGCTTTGACACTTTTGGGGAGAAACTATATGGTTTTGAATTGGAAACATGATGTAAATATGTAATCGGGTTTTCTACTAGAGGTTTGGTTGGAAAGACCAAATGTGGGTTATGTGGCAAAAATAATGCTTGGGGATCAAGTTTGATGGCAACCTAAGAGTCATGCGATAAAAAATGGAAACAATTCATGAACTTATGTATGTTGCTCTGAATAAGGTTCTTCTAGTTATTTCTTAGGCTTTGGTTATTGGACGCGAATGATTGTTTTTGTACTAGTGTACCCTGAAGCTGATAAAGCTGATTCCCCCTTAGCATGTGGATTGGGATTGGGAACAAAAACTAACCTTAAACCTCCGTATATCTTCTTATTATCTTGTTTATATGCAGAAAATTTTGGATTAGTTTGTGAGATCCTCTAATTTGTTTCTAATCTGATATGATCTGCACTGCAGAATGCATTCCAAGTTGCTTTCTTTTTCTGGAGCTGGTAAGCACTATACTGTCAAATTTTCAATGGATTTTTGGGTGTTCTTTTCACATCAATATACAATATTATATATATATATATATATATATATATATATATAGGTGTACTATTGTAACTACAACAACACTACCCTCTCATCTTTTTTGTGTGATAATGCAGGTTAAGTTTGGTTTACCTCCTTGCTTCCACAAGAATGCTGCAGACATAGCCATCAGGCTATCAATGGGGTGAGTAGTAGTTCAACCACAAATTTAAAACACCTCACATCTCTCTTCATTTATTATAATTTTTTTTTAGTAACGAGAAAAACTGGACACAAATTTAAACCACCAATTTACACTGAAAATTGGACCAAAATTTACTTCATTCTAAGGTGTTGAACTGAAAATTTGTTTTTTCTCTGAAGATGTAATTGAGAGGCTTAATGTTTTGAGGGGCAGAGGCATGGCTTCAATGTACTCTTGGTCTTGCAAGAGGTAAAGTAGTCCCAAGTGTTTGTTTTCTTGTTGTTTGTGTGAATTTCAACTTTTAAGCCTTAGTTTTACATTGATTTTGGGTATTGAACTTCTGTGATTGTTTGGATTCCCAGGACATTTTTCTTGCTTTGAGCATGAGGATATTTTATGTGGTTGATAAAGGTTATCACAATATTACATCTTAAGTAATTTATTTTAATTGTTAACATTTAGAATTTGTAGTTTATTTGTAGTAAAATGTTATTAGAATTGAAATTTTAGATTGGTGTGTTTTAGTTGATAGAATTGGTGTGTAGTATACATCTTAAATTGATTAATGTTGAATATATTATTTGGTAGTTATGTTGGGATGTACAGGAAAATATTGGTAGTTTTATAAAAAAAAAAATGTTTTTTTTTTTAATTTCTTTTTACTATACGCGTCCAAAGTTCACGAACTTTGGATGCGAATTATCATTTTTCGCGTCCAAAGTTCTTCAACTTCGGACGCGAATAATCATTTTGCGCGTCCAAAGCTACTTTGGACGCTGATTGTTTATACAATCAGCGTCCCCGCCATCTGCGTCCCAGCTACTTTTGGACGCGAATTAGCCTTAACTTTGGACGCGAATGACTGTTTCTGTACTAGTGTTGAGATATTTGATCCATGAGAATTGAAGCATATGTTGTTGCTAAAATGTGTAGAAATTGCTATGTTGCAAACCAAGCATGAAATTATATTTTTGAGTATTCCATGTTATTTTATATATGATTTAGAAGCATGTTATAGAGTACTTTAGCATTTCACATGTGTCATATTTCAAAAATGCATAAGGGGCCAACGTGAGCCCAAGAATACTTTCAAAAAAAAAAAAAAAACCATAAGCATGTGGTATATCATTCTTTGATGCATTGAGAAGTAGTAGAATTGCTGAATGCATGAGATTGGTGCATAAAAGATATATTTATGTATTATCTATATCAGTGAGGTTTTTGGAGGATACTGTTTGGACTATGTCCTCTCGGGAGATATTTATGGACATTGCGGTCCCAGTATATGTAACGCGGCGTATTCCCACGTTACGAGGTTGGAAACTTCCCACCAGGCTTGGAATCCTAGTTAGGGGGTGTGCACACTAATAGTTCGATATCTGATTCCACAGAGTTTGAACCACAAGATTGGTTCCGTAGACGGTAGGAGATATTGGGTCGGAATTATGTCGTTCCCGATGGGGTAATTCACACTTCTATGAAACCCTAAGCCGTCTACGAGTACAAGAGAGAAAGAGAGTCAACAGAGACTCAAGAAAGAGAGTCAATAAAGACTCGAGAGAAAGAAAGAGAGTCAAGAGAGACTCGATAAAGTAACAAAGAGACCTCCACAGAAAGTACTCTAATTTATAAAAGAGTGTATGAGTATATTATGTTAGACTAAAATATCACATGCATAATTACAATATATGATAATAGGATCGATAACCTCCAGCCATAGTTCTTGATACGGTTGAGCGATCCGGACTGCTGCAGAGATAACGAGTATTTTGTCTGTCACTTTACTCAGCTCTCTCTAGATGGTGTATGAGGTATGTAGTGTGAGCAGTGAGAGGACTAGTGACCTTATATAACCACAGGCCATCATTGTGGTTGATTGTCTTTAGGTATCTTAAACCCTAACCAGACTCCTAATCATAATGGTAGTCTAGTTATTAGGTTATTAGTGTTGCACCACATATCAAATACTGAATATTATCATAACTTATCCTAATATTATAATAATAGTAACGGATAAACGTTACATTCTCCCACTTGGTGCAAGCACTACCACTCAATAACAGAAAAACACCAACCATAATGATATGTTCTCATTAGCGCGAGTAGTATCCATTATGATCAAATGCAAACTGTCATTAAGCACTTAATTAGGAAACAAAACCCAACGAAATAAACCCTATGTTTATTCCAAGTCCCTGAAGTACATTTTCTCATCAATATAAAGTAAATGAAGGTGTACACACTTAATTGAGAAAATGTCTGAATGTCAAAGAATTTTATTAAAACTAAATGTATATATACAAATTACAAATTGGGCGAAAGTCCCATTTTCTGAATCAGATCCTTGAACTTAAATGGTGGCATGCCTTTAGTCAAGGGATCTGCTAACATCAACTCAGTATGAATGTGTTCAATAAATACAACTTTATTTTTGACACGCTCCCTAATTGCTAAGAACTTGATGTCGATGTGCTTAGTTCAACTTCCACTTTTGTCGTTCTTAGCTAGGAAGACTGCAGCTAAGTTGTCACAGTAGACTTTCAATGGCTTAGATATAGAATCCATAATTCTAAGCCCAGAGATAAAATTCTTTAGCCAAACACCCTGTGAAGTTGCCTCGAAACAGGAAACGAACTCGGCTTCCATGGTAGAAGTAGCTATTAAGGACGGTTTAACACTTCTCCATGAGATAGCCCCACCGGCCATAATAAAGACGCACCCTGAAGTTGATTTTCGAGAATCAACACAGCCAGCGAAGTCCGCGTCTGAATATCCGATAAGATCTAAATTGTCCGTCTGCTTAAACCCAAGCTTGTAACCTTTGGTTCCTTTGAGATACCTTAGAACCTTCTTTACAGCTCTCCAATGGTCTAACCCCGGATTGTGTTGGTAACGCCCTAGCATTCCAACCGCAAAAGCAATATCCGGCCTCGTACAAACTTGAATATATCCAAGACATCCAACTGCTGCAGCATAAGGGATGTTCTCCATGGATTCCTTCTCCAAATCATTTTTCGGACATTGGTCCAAACTGAATCTATCTCCTTAGATATGGGAGCAGCGTTCAGTGAACAATTTTGCATATAAAATCTCTCTAAAACTTTGTTTATATAGGTTTCTTGAGATAAACCCAGTATACCCCGGGACCTATCTCTATGAATTTTAATGCCAATAACATAAGAGGAATCACCCATATCCTTCATATCAAAGTTCTTAGAAAGAAATTGTTTCACATCACGAAGCATCCCCTTATCATTGGTGGCAAGTAAGATGTCATCCACATATAAAACAAGAAAGAAAATTTTACTCCCACTCACCTTTTGGTATACACAGTTATCTGAGGGATTTTCAACAAAACCAAATGAAGAAATTACCCCATCAAACTTGATATACCATTGACAGGAGGCTTGTTTTAAACCGTATATGGATTTCTTAAGCTTACATACTAAATGCTCACCACTCCTAGAAGAGAAACCTTCAGGTTGTTTCATATAAACCTCCTCTTCTAGATCACCATTTAGGAAAGCGGTTTTCACATCCATTTGTTGCAACTCAAGATTAAAATGTGCAACTAATGCCAGAATGACCCAAAGTGAATCTTTCTTTGATACAGGAGAAAATGTCTCCTTGTAATCGATTCCTTCTTTTTGAGTAAATCCCTTGGCAACAAGCCGAGCCTTGTATCTCTCAATGTGGGTTATATATCCTCACCTCAAACGGACATCCCCAAACACGCATATGTTGCAAACTCGGTTTCCAACCTTTGAATAACTGAAATGGTGTCTTAGGGACAGCCTTGGTTGGAACACGGTTTAATATATACGTTGCCGTCTTAAGTGCTTCATCCCACAATGACTTCAGAAGCTTAGAGTTGCTAAGCATACTCCACACCATATCCAGAAGAGTCCGGTTTCTTCTTTCAGCTACACCATTTTGGTCCGGAGAACCAGGCATGGTGTATTGGGCAACAATCCCATGCTCTTGAAGAAACTTAGCAAAGGGACCATGTGCTTGTCCATTCTCAGTATATCTACCATAGTATTCACCACCCCTATCAGACCTAACTATGTGTATTTTCCTGTTACATTGGTTTTCAACTTCACCTTTAAATGATTTAAAGGCATCCAATGCTTCATGTTTATGATGAAGTAAATACACATAGGAAAATCTTGAGAAGTCATCAACAAATTGATCACCGATGGCCTTGAGTAATGACTTAATTTCTTGAACTTCATCGACGGGACCACGAATATCTCTGGCAATTTTGGACTTAATGAGGAATACGCCCAAGCGATTGGCTGTTGCCCATCGCTCGTATAACGTCTTTTGTTCCTCAGTGCTTTCTGCAGTAAGCTCAGCAGGCTTCTCATTGCGGAGAGCATAATCAAACCCTAATATTTCCAAATTCAATAGAATAGCGTCTTTCCACTCTTTGTGATTATCATAATTGAGGATAGGAATATCAATTGTTATTGATTGAGTGATTGGAAGAGTGACTGTAAAAAAGAAAATTGAAAGCTTGGTTAGAATTTTTCGAGGCACAAAATTAGAGAGAGATACTGAAGTACATAATATTACCAATGTAAAATTATGCAAAAGATAAATTCGGATGCCATAAAAATTGCGTGTGGGCTAAATTTTTACGCATAATGAATTTACCAAAATTGAATGGTGGAAACGGAATGGGTGCGATTTTAAATTTTCCACCCCTAATGACAAAACTACCAAAACTATATGCCGATACATAATCCCTGTGGGCAAATTATGATCATAGTATGGTATTTCATCCTAATTAACCCTACAAATAAAACAAAATTGCCTGTGGGCTAAATTTTGCCATATCACGCAGAGTGAATTACAATATTCTTGCATTAACTTTATGTGAGTAAAACTTAATATGTAATTTTGGAAAAATTAAAGATGATGTGGCTACTCTTTAATTAACCAAAGAACATAATCACATTAGCAAGAAAGCCTAATAAACAAACAGATTAAACCAAAATATGATAGACAATCCTTAGGTATACTCCCAAGAAAGTTGGTCGAGGCGAAGCTCGGTTAAAAACCAACTCCTTAGACAGAGTAGTGTCGCAAGGGGACTAATAGCAACAAGGCTTTTAAGCCAGGGCCATAGAACTAGTATTCCTCCCCAAGAAACTTCCCTAATTCATGTGTTCTCATTTTTGAAGTAAAATCGTTTGAGAGATCTAAAGAGCGTAGTTTCACCTATAGATAAGGCTTTGAATAGGGTGAACTACGAATTGTTTATGTACTTTATGTGCTTTAGGAACTTTATAAGAGCACGAATGGAGTAATAACCGAAGAGTGAGTAATAATATACATAATCTAACCTGAAAGGCACTAAATCATGCAAAGCATATAATTCAGACCTAAAAGGCTCTAAATTTTCTTAAATCATGCAAAGCATATAATTCAGACCTAAAAGGCTCTAAATTTTCTTAATGAACATGCTTTATTACAGGCATAATTATAACAGTCAAATAATTATTGCAATGAAGAGATAAATAGCA